CTGAACTTTACCATTAGCAAACCAATACATTCCTTGCCTGCCTCAGTGGTTTGGGTTGGTTTTCCAGTTTGCCTCACTAGTTTGGGTTCTCATTAAATGAACACAAACTGTACCAGTTTTCTATGGCTACAATTGAGCTATGTGAGAAGCCACAGAAGCTTAGAGCAATGGATCTCCTGAGGCTGGATCAGTGTTTAGGCTGGACTTTATGGGGCAGTTTTTCTGGTCTCAGCTGAGCTCACACACATGTTGGTCTGCTGCGAGGAGTGGGAAAACCAGGCCACCTGTGGAGGCCACCATGACAAACATTTGAGTCACTGTTGATGTTTTGTGCCTAGAAGCTCTTGGCCATCTATGATAGGAATTTGAAAAGTGGTTGATTGGCCAGGCTTGGTGGCTCACACCCGTAATCCCAGCACTTTGCAAGGCTGAGGTGGGTGGACCACAAGGTCAGGAGTTTGAGACCAGCCTGGCCAAGGTGAAACCCCGTCTCTACTAAAAATACAAAAATTAGCCAGGTGCAGTGGCAGGTGCCTGTAATCCCAGCTACTCGGGAGGCTGAGGCAGGAGAATCGCTTGAACCTGGGAGGTGGAGGTTGCAGTAGGCCAAGATTGCACCACTGTACTCTAGCCTGGGTGGCAGAGCAAGATTCCATCTGAAAAACAAGAAGAAAGGAAAAGTGGTTGGTGAAACTGACTCAGGGTTTGGATTTTCTGAAACGCCTCAGAGAAACAGAATTGCAAGAAATGTGTGCGTTATGAGAGAAGCTAGTTTGTTGCAGATCGTCCCTCAGTTTTGGCTTGTGTGCCTTTTCCTTGGGATTAGATCCAGGTGGTTAATTTTTGGCAGCAGTCCTCACAGGTGCTGTGGGGTCCTTTTCAGAATGTCGTCTCAGTGGATTTGTGATGTTGAGGGTCCCATCTGTGGTGAGGTCCATCCCTCTGATGTGGTGGCGATCCTTAACAGGCTGATAGGCTCGTTCCTTTGTTCCATCCCTCCCTTTGTCATCCACCCAAGAATCCAGGTCAGATTCACGTGGGCAAGTGTGTCCCTGTGGCAGCTGTCCACCCGCTGCTGGGCAGAAGAGCTGCTCAGCTGAGTCCAACCCAAATTGCAGAACTGTGAATAAATAAATTGTTTAAATCTATTAAGGTTCGGCGTGGTGTTTTGCAGCAATAAATAATTCAGAAACTAGGCTGGACATGGTGGCTCATGCCTATAATCTCAGCACTTTGGGAGGCCAAGGCGGGTGGATCACCTGAGGTTGGGAGTTTGAGACCAGCCTGACCAACACGGAGAAACCCTGTCTCTACCAAAAATACAAAATTAGCTGGGTGTGGTGGTGCATGCCTATAATCCCAACTACTAGGGAGGCTGAGGCAGGAGAATCGCTTGAACCCAGGAGGCGGAGGTGGCAGTGAGCCGAGGTCACGCCATTGCACTCCAGCCTGAGCAACGAGAGCAAAACTTCATCTCAAAAAAAAAAAAAAAAAAAATCATAAACAATGTTCTTTAACTTAAAGGAATTAGCTTCCTGCCATAACTGAGTCTCTGGGAATTTACTAGAACAGCAGTTGAGGAGACAAGGATGCTGGCCAGAGGGCTGGTTTTGGCCAGGGCTGTTCACTCCCTTGAGCTTTAACCAGTGATCTATAGATGCTCCATGACTTCCCATGCACGATGGGAACGGGCTTCTGGTGAGCTCCAGGGATTATGGACTTCAGAGTTTTCAGATTCTGCCTGCGCACAGCTCAACCCCAACCTGGAGAGCACCCCAGGTTTGTTGACCTTTGTTAACTCCATCACCTTCATCCCTCCCAGTTCCCTTGATTTCCTTTTATTTCATTTTGCCTTCTGGCTGCAATAAAGCTTGCTTTCTTTTTTTTTGGATGCAGTCTCGCTCTGTCCCCCAGGCTGGAGTGCAGTGGCGCAATCTCGGCTTACTGCAACATCTGCCTTCCTGGTTCAAGTGATTTTCCTACCTCAGCCTCCCGAGTAGCTGGGACTACCGGTGTGTGCCACCACACCCAGCTAATGTTTTGTATTTTTAGTAGAGACAGGGTTTCACTGTGTTAGCCAGCATGGTCTCAGTCTCCTGACCTCGTGATCCGCTCACCTTGGCCTCCCAAAGTGCTGGGATTGGTGCCGGAGCCCGGTCGCCCAGTGCTTTTTTTTTTTTTTTGAGACAGACTTACTCTGTCACCCCAGGCTGGAGGGCAGTGGTGTAATCGTGGTTCACTGTAGCCTCGGCCTCCCATGCTCAAGCGATCCTCCCACCTCAACCTCCTGAGTTACCGGGACTATAGGTGTGCCACCACCATGCCTAGCTAATTTTTGTTTATTTTTGTAAGGGATGTTGCTCAGGCTGGTCTTGAACTCCCGCCTCAAGCAATCTTCCTGCCTCAGGCCTCCCAAAGTGCTGGGACCATGGGAGTGAGCCACCATGGCCAGCCTGCAGTAAAGCTTTCTATGGACCTTTTTTTATTTTTATTCTTTGAGACGGAGTCTTGCTCTGTCACCCAGGCTGGACTGCAGTGGCGTGATCTTCCCTCACCACCGCAACTTTCACTTCCTGGGTTCAAGCGATTCTACAGCCTCAGTTCCTGAGTAGCTTGGATTACAGGTGCGTACCACCATACCCTGCTAATTTTTTGTATTTTTAGTAAAGACGGGGTTTCACCATGTTGGCCAGGCTGGTCTCGAGCTCCTGACCTCTTGATCTGCTTGCCTTGGCCCCTCAAAGTGCTGGGATTACAGGTGTGAGCCACCGCGCCCAGCCTCTATGGAGACACATTTTTGTAGACAGAAGACCAAGACTGAAAGAAAATGTGCACGCCATCCCCACCAAGTCTGGCAATGTCCCACACCTACCTGGACCACCAGGGGAAGGCAGGCACACCTGGCCCAGCAGACTCAGCATGTCAGTTTCCTGGGCACCGAAAACTTTGCATCCACCCTCACCCTTCCGTTCCAAGCTTGTGTTTCCTGTCTGTACTCCCCATGGACCGCAGTCCTCCTGAGAGCAGGGACTGTCCTCTCCCGGCATCCTTTGACCCGGCATTGTGCCTGGCTGGGGTAAGGGCTTGAATGTCAGCACCACCACCACCCTCCTCTCCACCTCCCCCAACTCCCTCACCTCTGCTCCCAGCTTCCTCCTCCTCCAGTGTACAATGATGGCGGGTATGCAGTTTGGCAAATGAGAACTTGGCTTCTGGTGCGAGGAAAACTCTGAATCTGCATCCACCGCCTTATTTAAGGTGTCTAAGCCTCATTTTCCACTTTCCACGTCTGTAAAATGGGTACAATGGGGAGGGAAATCTTTTTTTTTTTTTTGAGACTCACTCCATTGCCCAGGTTGTAGTACAGTGGTGCGATCTTGGCTCACTGCAACCTCCACGTCCCGGGTTTAAGCGATTCTCTTGTTTCCCGAGCAGCTGGGATTACAGGCGCCCTCCATCATGCCCAGCTAATTTTTGTATTTTTAGTAGAGACGGGGCTTCACCATGTTGGCCAGACTGGTCCTGAGTTCCTGATCTCAAGTGATCCTCCTGCCTTGGCCTCCCAAAGTGCTGGGATTACAGGCGTGAGCCACCGTGCCCAGCCAGGGGAGAAATCTTTTAGCCCAAAGTTTGGCACAAAATAGGCACTTAATCAATAATGTCTGTAAATACTGATGACATGATTCACCCTAGGACAGGATTTAAGGGTTGTGAACGTCATCTTAAATGGGTCACTATCGCCCTCTTCTGGCTAGGTGGGATGTCTACATCTCCACTTCTCAATCCTGTGCAATTCATTTTTTTTTTTTTTTTTTTTTGAGACGGAGTTTCGCTCTTGTTACCCAGGCTGGAGTGCAATGGCACGATCTTGGCTCACCGCAACCTCCGCCTCCTGGGTTCAGGCAATTGTCCTGCCTCAGCCACAACTACAGGCACGCGCCACCATGCCCAGCTAATTTTTTGTATTTTTAGTAGAGACGGGGTTTCACCATGTTGACCAGGATGGTCTCGATCTCTTGACCTCGTGATCCACCCGCCTCAGCCTCCCAAAGTGCTGGGATTACAGGCGTGAGCCACCGCGCCCGGCTAATCCTGTGCAATTCAACCTCCACCCCATCCCCACTCCAAGTACCTGCAGCAGGTAACTTTTGGGCTTTGTGAGTGTGGCCGGAAGTCCAGGCAGTCCCAGCCCCCAGGTGTCAGACTGACACAGGCGTGACACTTTGTGAGTGTTCAGGAAACACAGGCCACCAGGACTTCAGACATGCCGCCTCCCAACTCTGGGTCTCTGTCTCCTCTTCTAACATGGAAGCTGCACAGGGGACTATGGCAGAGCTAAAAGAGTATCTGTTCACATCACCTGAGACTGTCCTTAGGACTGACACAGGGGATCCCCAGGACAACTCCAGTGCCCACCTGACCCAGAGGAAGCTCCTCAGAAGCCCCCACATTCCAAGGCTCCAGGTGCTGTCCAAAGCCAAGTCCAAGGTCAGCTCCATGGGAGGGAGATGCCTGCTCCTGGGAGTCCAGGTCCAGAATCTGCATGGCTGTGACCTTGGCGGAGGCATTTAGAACCCGACAGGAAAAGCCATTGAGGCAGCAGCACTTGTTTCGATGCCCCAGAGCAGAATTGTGGGAGAACCACTGCCTCTCTGCAGAGGCACCAAAACCTTCATTCAGATCCCCAAAAGGGCCCCTGCCCACTGCAGGGGGGTGGGCGCTCCTGGTCCCAGGAGCCTGGCTCACTTCTGCTTCCTTCCGCCAGACCTCGGCCGAGCATCTTCCATTTCCCAGCTGCTTCCACTTGCCGCTGGGGGACACTTCGTACCTAAGTGAAGGTGCTCCCTGCAGTCCCCTCTCCCCGCTGGCCATCCAGTCCTCGGGAAGGTCTTGCACCCCACTGATCCAGTAGCAAGGGTGTCTTTAGCAAGACCAGAGCCACCTGCTCCCACCCCTCCCTGCCCCAGGGCAACTACAAGCCTGCCACACAACGTACACAATTCAGACTTTGTAGCTGTTTTTATTATTAATATTATCTTCTCCTTTAAGCATCCCTTTAAGGGTGAAATGAAATCCAACCATTTACAGAGAAAATGATTTCAGAATGTACATATTGATTTTCCCTTACAAAAAAAATAATACTATTATTGATGTCCTTAAATTATACATTTCCCAGGGTCCTGCCTTCTGCTTGGGCAAGTCCTGTCTCCCCACCTGGACTCTTCCTGTTGCCCTCAAAGCTCTCCCATGCTGCCCCTGGAAACTGACATGACCCATGGGTGGACAGGGCCAGCCATGCTTCCTGGATTCTTGGCACAGACAGGCCTCCTTGGGTCTCAGTCTTGGGGCCAGTTATTACCAGGGGGAAATGTGGACATGGGACGTGGCAGCAGTGTGCCGGTGGTCACATTCAGCTTGGTTTCCTTTCATACTGAGGGAGTGGCCCTGGGTTCCTCTGCTCCCCCCCAAATTCCCAGTGTATGCTGTGATATATGCGAAACTCTTCAACGCCGTGCCCTGGACCCCCACGCCTCTGACAGCTGTCCTCTTCACCAATGGCGAGGCCTTCACTTCTGCTGTGAACAGGACCTGCCCCACCAGGTTTCTGAGGAAGGCAGGGCCTGGCAGCTCTTCCTTCCCTTAGCCCTGAGCTGGTACCCTGGAGGGGCATCCCCACAGCAACTGAGGGTGCCAGGGGCATGGGGTGAGGAAGTTGCCAAGAAGGGAGGCCCCAGGCCAGGGCCCAGGCATGATCAGGAGCCCTGAGATTCCCTGTCCATGGGGTGCAGCCTTGCCTGGATTGACCCAGAGCCACAGGGATCCCCTGACTTCTTGAGCTACCCCTCGGCCCCAAGAGGAAACAGAAAGGAAGGCTGCTGTGACTTCAAAGGAGGAGTTCCATGGGGGGCAGTCCCTATATGGGAGCAAGAGTAGGTCAGAGCCCCTCAGCCCACTTCACACTGGCCTACCAACAGCTGCTCTGAGGCCAACTCCCCACATCATGCCCTCACTGGGCACTTAACCCAGACAGAGCTGTGGCAAGGAGATGTCCTCCTCTCCTGGCCCATCAGGAAACTCCTATCGATAAGACACCAGAGAAAGCCCACTAGGGTAGGGGTAGGGGATGGGTGGGATGATGTGGCTGGGGTCGAGAGGGGCTGGGGAGGTAGTGGGCTCTCAGCTGCACAGCCCTCAGATCAGAATTCTCATTCCTCAGACTGAAAGACAGACAGACGGACAGACCCTGCATCCCCTTTAGCTTTGCTTTCTAGGCTCCCCAAGGGTTTTCTGTCTCAGTCATATTGGGGAGCTGCAGGAGGTGTGGCCACAGGCCTGAGGAAGAGGACACCTGGGCCTGGGCTCCCCCATCCACACACAAGCATATATTTACAGGGACACAGCAATACAGACATGTACAAATACACACCAAGCATGCACCCATGCCCATAAATATACACACACACGCACGCACAAACATGAGCCATTCCGCAGGCCAACTCTGCACACCGGCATCAGTGGGTAGTGCTTGAGGGGCCGAGGGGTGTTTCCCCTTCCCACAGAGTGCAGACTCCTCACTGCCCCTGGCCCTGGGCTACACAGTGAGGGGAACAGGAGCAAGCTGTTCCAGAAGCTCTGACAATGAAATCTGGATCCGATGACTGAGTTATTGCTGCCTCCTTCCCCTCTCCCAGAGATGCTACTGGTTCCCCATATCTATTCTCTTCTCCATCAATAAGAGAACTCCCAAGGTGAGGCCAGGCACATGGTGGCCCCGCTGAAGACTACACTTCCCAGATTCCCTTGCAGCTGCTTGTGGCCATGTGACTGAGTCCCAGCCAATGAGAGGCCGGCAGAGGTGAGCCTGCCAATTCTGGCTCATGCCTTTAGCAGGAAGCGTTTATGCCCTTCTTGCCTATTTCTGCTTCCCCCAGGCTTGGATACACACAGGACTGGGCGCTGGAGCAGCCACTCTGTACCCAGAATTGGAAGGTGCGTATGAAGAAACGCACAGCTGTCCTACCAGCTCTGAGCCATCTCACTCTAGACTAATTAGAAACCAGTGTCCCTCTTGCTTAAACCATGTATTTCAGGGTCGCTTAATCACAGCAGCTTAGAGTCTACTCGAGCAAAGACACCCCCACCAAGGCCAGCTACGAGGAACAGGAAGCATACAACTGGCCTTATTGTCCCTTCTTGGGCCCAGGACAGCCTCATGGCCCCTTCCTGGCTCCCAGCCCTAAGGAGGGGCACAACAGTGATTGCACCTGGGACAGTGAACAGCTGGGACTGGGTATCAGAAGGAAGGCGTGATGGAGAGGGAGAGACGGATCCGTGCGGAGGCCTCATGTCAGTCTTCACCTCCCCACCGCCCCAGCAAGGCCCCACCTGCAACTGGACTCCTGGCCTTGCAAGGACTGAGTGCACAGTCCACAAGACAGCAATGTTAACAACGGGGGAAGGAATGCCAGGGCCAGCTTGGAACTAAAAGGAAAGTTCCTCAGGGTTCTTCAGGCCCCTGTGTTGGCTCACGACAGCCTGAGGGGACAGAAACAGACTCAGGCACCAGTCCCCTGAGGGCAGCCACGTCTTGTCCTCTGGGGCAGGGGGTGGAGTTCTGTCTCCTGGCCCAGCACTTCTGACAACCCTGCAAAGCATCCCTCAGCACCTCCTCTTGGTGCGATGCAGTTTTTCATCCCCTCCCTCCCAGGTGTCCATGCTTCCTCCTGGACCCAAATGTATCTACTTACAGAGCCCTGGGTCCTCCTGGCAGGCCAGTCTCCCACTTCGAGCCCAAGACCCTGGGATGCCAAATGGTGGGCTTCTTCCCGGCCTGGCCACGCCCCAGAGGCTGCCCCATGAGATCCTTCAGGCTCTCTTCCCCCACTCTGCTTGCCCTCCCCTGCTACCCAGGGACTACCAGCACACTCCAGTGGCACCTCCTGGCCACAGCAGTCTTGACAGTCAGAAGGGCTACCCAGATGTCACGGTCTGCACCCTCTCCTAGCAGGAGAGATGTTTTCTGAGCTCAAAGGCCTGACCCTTGATTCACAAGGGCTTCAGTAGGGAAACCCTACCCTCATCTGTACTCCTCACCCACACCTGGTCCCCTCAAGAACCACGGAGCTGGCAGGAGGCAAGGAGATAGCGCTAGGGGGCCGCCAACCCCGCCCTGCCATGCGCCCTATCAGATCATGCAGCCCTAGCCTTCCGCCTCGTCCAGTTTGCCCCGGGCGGGCAGCCTTCCCTCGGGACCCCTGTGGTGCCGCCCACCTGCCGCCGTGCTCCTGGGCTCCTGGTAGGGGTTGTCCAACAGGTAGCGGAACTGGTTGTAGTTCTTGAGCAGGTACTTGGGCGCGTACATGTGCTCGCTGGGGTCTGCGGGCGGGTACTCCTGCTGTGTGCCGTCGAACCAGCCCCCCGTGCGGATCAGGCCGCGGATGTAGTTCAGGTCCCGCTTGTCCTCGTAGTCACCCCAGCGCGGGAAGTCGCCGTTCTGGGCGGACACGAGCTTGAAGTAGATGCCCTCGGGCGTGAAGCACCAGGAGCAGTGCCAGCCTGCGAAGTGCAGGGGGCTGCCCAGTGACCACTGCACCAGGATGTGGCCGGTGCGGTTCTCGTACTGCCTGAAGTTGGGCATGGTGTAGTACTGGCGGCGGCGCAGGCGGATGCCGTCCAGCCCGTACACGGCCTGCAGCATGTCCACGGTGCAGCCTGACACCACCTCCAGGGTGCCCGGCTGCTTCCAGAAGAAGCCGTAGAGCGACTTGCGCATGTGGAAGGCGAAGGGCTCGGTCCAGCCGTCGTAGAGCTTGAGGAAGAGGACGCCGTCGCGGGCCGGGATCTCGTCGGCGTCGTCGATGATGAAGACGTCGTCTGGCCGTAGGTTGCGCAGCCGCGAGACGCCGTCCTGGGTGAGGAAGGTGCGCAGGTAGTCGTCGGCGATCCAGCCGTCCTGCCGGCCTCCGGGCGGGAAGTGGTCCAGGAAGACGTACAGCACCTTGTGGCGGATGTACTCGAAGGTGCCGTTGGTCAGCATCTCCCGGAACTTGAGCGGCCGCGGCTCCCCGTAGGCAGTGAAGTTGGACTCGCACACCACGAAGGCGTCCACCACGTCGCCCAGCTCGTGGAAGCGCACGTCCAGCAGGTCAAACTCGTGGTTGACGTTGATGGCGTTGATGACGCGGCGCGGCACCTCCCTGGGCACCAGCCGCTCCTTGGTGGGCAGGTTGGAGTACTGCACCACGGTGGGCACGCCGCAGCTGGGTCCGTGCCAGCCGGGCAGGCACACGCACTCCACCCACTTGCGCCGCGCGCCCCGGCCCCCAGTGCGCTCCCGGGCGCTCAGCAGGTACCGGGGTGGGCGCCGGGCGGAGGAGCCGTTGGCCCGCTCTGGCTTCTCCTCCAGCCGTCCCGGGGGCGGCCTCTCCAGCATCTTGGTCCCGGGTTTGAAGCAGACTCCGCCAGCCTTGGTGCGCACGAAATACTCGGTGGTGTCCTCGGGTAGTACGAAGGCCACCCGGTGGAGCTCCTCAGCCGCCTTGCTGGGCGGCAGTGGCTGCAGCAGGGGCGAGTGGGAGTACAGCGGGGTGCGCAGCAGATCGGGGCCGCCCGGCTCGGGGCTGGCCTGGGGCGTGACTGGCGCATTGTTCCAGAAGAAGCTGGACACCAAGTTAGGGCTGAGGGAGGCCAGTTCTCGGGGGAAGGTGACATAGGACAGGGTCTTGAAGAAGTGCAGGAAGGAAATAAGGCACAGGCCGGCCATACAGAACATGAGAAAGAGCTTGTAGCGTCTCATTTTCATCCTGTGGGAGAGAGAGAGATGGCAGACCCGTCAGGGCGGCCCAGGCTCCTTTCCCAGGAAGGGGACCTAGGAGGCCTCTGCTGCCACCTGGCCTGGGAACGTCCTAGCCAGCAGCGCCTTGCCCCTGCATAGAGTGACCTCCGGCCCCCACGAGTCAACTCGCGGTACCAAGGCCCCTGGAAGCCCCAGCATTGAGGACACCCGCATGCTCGGGCAGCCCTTCCCCGAGACCCCCAGGCCACCACCGTGCTCCCTCTGCAGGCTGCTCCTTTGCCTGGCCCACCCCACCCTGACTGTAGGGGCTGCACTGCTAGCCTTGGCTCCAGGAGCAAAATGCACCCCTGGGAAAGGCTCAACCCGCAATGAAGGCCTTGCCCCAGGACAGGAGTGGGAGAGCAGGCTGCAGGCTGCTCTTGTGGGTCCTGCACCTCCTCTCCTATTTTCTTTCTTATGGACATGCTTACAAACCTTTTGAATACTTTTTCACTGAAGAAAACTCACAGGTCTCAAGGGAAAACACTTAATTCTAACATATTTAAAGAATAAAACCAGGCCGGGTGCAGTGGCTCATGCCTGTAATCCCAACACTTTCAGAGGCTGAGGCAGGAGGGTCGATTGAGCCCAGGAGTTTGACAGCTTGGGTAACGCAGTGAGACCCTGTCTCTACAGAAAATTTAAAAATTAGCCAGGGGTAGTGCCATGTGCCTGTGGCCCCAGCTATTCAGGAGGCTGAGGTGGGAGAATCACCTGAGCCCTCGAGGTTAAGGCAGCAGCGAGCCATGATTGCACCACTGCACTCAGCCTGGAGCACAGACCGAGACCCCATCTGAAAAATAAAATTTCCCTTCATTATCCCATGCCCTTTACTAATCTCCAGGCATAAAAATTTGAGGTCAGCTGGGCACAGTGGCTCATGCCTGTAATACCAGCACTTTGGGATGCCAAGGTGGGTGGATCACTAGGTCAGGAGTTCAAGACCAGCCTGGCCAACATCGTAAAACCCTGTCTCTACTAAAAATATTTAAAAATAAGCCAGGCATGGTGGCACACATCTGTAATCCTAGCTACTTGAGGCAGGAGAATTACTTGAACCCAGGAGGTGGAGGTTGCAGTGAGCTGATACGGCGCCATTGCACTTCAGCCGAGGCGACAAGAGCAAGATTCCATTAAAAAAAAAAATTGAAGTCTGTCTCAGGCTTTATATGCAATTTTTCTGTTCTTGGTTTAATATTTTTCATATTACCATATCAGATGCTAAGTCTAACCAAGTTGTTTTCCTCAATCAATGATAGATTTAAAAGATTTTGGGCCAGGTGCAGTGGCTCATGCATGTAAACCCAGCATTTTGGAAGGCCAAAGCAGGCAAATTACAAGGTCAAGAGATCAAGACCATCCTGGCCAACATGATGAAACCCTGTCTCTACTAAAAATACAAAAATCAGCTGGGCATGGTGGTGTGCGCCTGTAATCCCAGCTACTTGGAGGGCTGAGGTAGGAGAATCGCTTGAACCCGGGAGGTGGAGGTTGCAGTGAGCAGAGATTATGCCACTGCACTCCAGCCTGGCAACAGAGTGAGACTCTCCATCTCAAAAAAAAAAAAAAGAAAAAAAAAAGATTTTGGTATCAGTAGAAATAAATGTACTAGTTCCTTTTAAATTCCACGTTACATGGCTACTGTGAATGAATCACTCTGTATTCATGAGTGACTCATGATGTAACCATTTATACAGTTTATCAATTAGTTTATGGCTGTGGAATGGAGATGCTTGTATATTCTTATTCTCCAATTTAAATCAACTTTTTTTTTTTTTAAAGACAGAGTCTTGCTCTGTCACCCAGGCTGAAGTGCAGTGGCGCGATCTTGGCTTGCTGCAGCCTCTGCCTCCCAGGTTCAAGCAATTCTCCCCTGTCAGCCTCCCAAGTAGTTGGGATTACAGGCATACGCCACCACACCCAGCTAGTTTTTATATTTTTAGTAGAGATGGGGTTTTGCCATGTGGGCCAGGCTAGTCTTGAACTCCTGATCTCAGGTGATCCGCCCGCCTCGGCCTCCCAAAGTGCTCAGATTACAGGCGTGAGACACCATGCCTGGCCTAAATAAACTTTTAATTTTAGAATAGTTGTAGATTATCAGAAAAGGTGCAAAGACAGCACAGAGCTCACACACTTTACCCCATTGCTCCCATTTTACACCACTAGGTACATTTGTCACAACTAGGAAACGGATATCAGCATGTCACCATTAGCCAATCCCCACACTGAATTTGGATGCCCATTTTACGAATGAGCTGTAGAGCCACAGGGCACCTCCGACCGCAGCAATCCAGCTCATTTCACTCTTGAGCCTAAGCAGGCAGGCAGGCAGGCCAGGAGTTTATATCCATTTGACCAATGAAAATGCTGGGTGGGGCCGAGTGGGACCAGTGACCTGTCGGGGGGACCCACCGAGTCACAGAAGAGGCTGAGAGAGAAACCTCGCCTTTGGCATCTGGCACTGTGCTTCTACTTAGACATTCTTCCCCTTAAAATGTTTCCGTCTGTGGTTTCTCTTTATTTCTGGTTCTTTCTCTGGGTCATACTCTCCCCCTCACTTTTTTGAGACGGATTCTCACTCTGTTGCTCAGGCTGGAGTGCAGTGGCACCATCTCTGCTCACTGCAACCTCCATCTCCTGGGTTCAAGCGATTCTCCTGCTTCAGCCTCCCAAGTAGCTGGGATTACAGGTGTGTGCCATCATGACCGGCTAATTTTTGTATTTTTAGTAGAGATGGGGTTTCACATCATAGCACTTTGGGAAGCTGAGGTGGGTGGATCACCTGAGGTCAGGAGTTTGAGACCAGCCTGCCCACCATGGTGAAACCCCATCTCTAGTAGTGGCGGGCACCTGTAAATCCCAGCTACTCGGGAGGCTGAGGCAGAATTGCTTGAACCTGGGAGGTGGAGGTTGCAGTGAGCTGAGATCACACCACTGTACTCTAGCAAGACTCCATCTCAAAAAAAAAAAAAAGAAAAAAGAAAAGAGAGATAGGCACGTGGCTTCCAACAAGGCTCCTCATCATTCTGAACCTTAGTTTCTCCATCTGTGAAATGGGCACAGAGTTCCTGGCATGTAGCATATGCTCAATAAGCTCTTATTCCTTTCAATGCTCAAGGCTAGATGCCCCCAATTTAATCTTCTCTAAGCCACATAGTCATAAGGCACAGAATCATGACATGATTGATCTAGAAAATTTAAGGACCATCTCCTCCAACTCTTTCATTTTATAGAGGGGGAAGCCAGCACCTAGGGGGCTCAGGGACCTGCCCAAAGTCACAACAGAGCTGGAGTGTGAAGTGGGCAGCTATGCCCCTGCACCAGGTGCCCCTCGTGGCCTCACCTTGGCGAAGTCCTGAGTAGGCTGGTAAAGAGCAGCCGAGCTGCTGATCCCAACAGTCAGGGCAGCGCTTGCCCTGTTCAAGCTCAGATATCCATCCTCCAGTAAACACCACTGCGCCTGGCCTTAGTGGGGTATTTTCTCTACTTGGGACCTGCTTCTGTGGACCACACTCCAAGGTACACAACTGGTGTAAGCTCTGTGGCGGGCCTGGCCTGGGACTGCCGTTCAGACTCTAAATCCCCTGGCAGCACGAACAAAGGCTTTAGCAAAGCAAGGTAAGAGGAACCCAGAGAGGCAAGGAAACAGCCTGCTTGGCATAAAGGGCCTCCGTGGACCTGCTGAGGTCAGATTGACCCAGCTGCCCCTTGGCTGCCTTTTAGGATCTAGTTACTTGCAGCCAGCTGTGCCCTTCTAAGCACGGACTCACCAGTGCTTGGGAGCTCCCCTCTGAGTCACTGGAGCCTTCAGGGCAGGGCTGCTTGATAAGGCCTCAGTCTGGCTTGCTGCTGAGAATCATGGATCTGAGCATGTTTCCCTCATCACTCAGGTTGCTAGGAGGCTCAGAAGCACACAGTGGTTAGCCCAGAGCATGTCAACAGTGCCTCACAGACCACATTTTCTTGGACTCCTTCACTTGCAGCTGCCTGCATAGTTTCAATCCTTTTCAGCTCAATTCCTTTCTATCTTTTCATTTTTTGATTGAGACAGCATATAAATAAAATGAAATAAATAAGCACTGGCACTCAGGGTCTCATTTAAGTCTCTTAACCACCCTGGTTGGTCATTTAAACTGCCCTGTTTTAACAGACGGAGAAAACGAGACTCAAAAAGATGGCAAGACTTTCCCCAAAGGACATTAAGGAGGTGGCTGAGTCAGGACTTGAACATAAGTTCTGGTTCTCAAGCCAGCGCCTCTCTCCCTCACCACAGGTGGGACCACCAGATGCCTCCATAGTGCAGGTGTTCCGGCTGTGGGCTATAGCCATGGACCCAAACTGGCCCCAGTTGGTGGCATTTCTGCTGCCATTACAAGGCTTCACCAAGACTGGGCACAGTGGCTCATGCCTGGAGGACAAGGCAGGCAGATTGTTTGAGCCCAGGAGTTTGAGACCAGCCTGGGCAACATGGCTAAACCCTATGTCTCTTAAAAAAAAAAATTAGCAGGGTGTGCTGGCCCTTGCCTGTGGTTCCAGCTATTTGGGAAGCTGAGGTGGGAAGACTGCTTGAGCCCTGCACATCAAGGCTGCAGTGAGCTGAGATCGCAGTACTGCACTCCAGCCTGGGCGTGAAATTGAGACCCTTATCTCAAAAGCAAAAACAACAAAGCATCAGAAAACCATCAGGTATAGCAATAAAACTATCACTGAGGCTGACAGTGCCCCAGGCACTGTAACATGTCCTAAGCATGTTACGCGTGTGACTGCACTGAATCCTCCCAACACGAAGCAGGTGCCCTTGTACAAAGAAACCGAGGTCAGGGAGGTGATGCGACGCACAGCGTTGCAAAATAGAAGGATCACACTGGATCCTGTAGGGTCACTCATGGGCTTGCTTTCAGTGGTAAAGCTGTTCTGAGCCCCTTCCAGCTGCCGAGTTCAACCCAAGTGGGGTGACAGGGCCCCTGA